TCCCATTCCCCCAGGATAAATGCCATTCCCCCCAGGTAAATCCCACTCTTCCCAGGTAAATCCCATTTCCCCCAGGTAAATCCCATTCCCCAAGGCAAATCCCATTCTTTCCCAGGTAACTCCCATTCTTCCCCAGGTAAATCCCATTCCTCCCAGGTAAATCCCATTCTTCTTTAAGTAAATCCCCTTCTTCCCTAGGCAAATTCCATTTTTCTCTAAGTAAATCCCATTCCCCCCAGGTAAATTCCATTCCCCCCAGGTAAATCCCATTCCTCCCAGGTAAATTCCATTTCCCCCAGGGAAATCCCATTCCCACAAAGTAAATCCCATTCCTCCCATGCAAATCCCATTCCTCTCAGGTAAATCCCATTCCTCCCTATGTAAATCTCATTCTTCCTTAGGTAAATCCCATTACCCCAAGATAAACCCTGTTTGCCCCCAGGTAAATCCCATTCTCCCAAGGTAAATCCCATTCTTCCCTAGGTAAATCCCATTCCCCCCTATGTAAATCCCATTCTTCCTTGGGTAAATCCCATTCCCATAAGGTAAATCCCATTCCCCCCAGGGAAATCCCATTCCCACAAAGTAAATCCCATTCCCACAAAGTAAATCCCATTCCCACAAAGTAAATCCCATTCCTCCCATGCAAATACCATTCCTCTCAGGTAAATCCCATTCCCCCAAAGTAAATCCCATTTCCCTCAAGGTAAATCCCATTCCCCCCAGGTAAATCCCACTCCCACAAAGTAAACCCCATTCCCCCAAGTAAATCCCATTCTCCCAAGGTAAATCTCATTCCCACAAAGTAAATCTCATTCCCATAAGGTAAATTCCATTCCTCCCATGCAAATACCATTCCTCTCAAGTAAATCCCATTCCTCTCAGGTAAATCCCATTCCCCCCAGGTAAATCCCATTCCCCTGAGGTAAATCCCATTCCCCCAGGATAAATGCCATTCCCCCCAGGTAAATCCCACTCTTCCCAGGTAAGTCCCATTCCTTCCATGCAAATCTCATTCCCCTGAATTAAATCCCATTCCCCCCAGGTAAATCCCATTCCCCCACCCCACCTGCTGTGCTGCTGCTCAGCCAGGAGCAGGTCAGCCANCCCGAGGACACGATCTGGATGGCGAGGGAGGACAGGGAGCGGTGCAGGAAGCCCCGCGAGTGCAGGAACCTCAGCGCATCCAGGATCTGCAGCAGGATGTGCAGCAGCGTCTCCGTCTGCAGCACTGGGAACTCTGCTCGCTGCAAAAACAACCCCAAAACCACCAAATCTGCAGGGCAGGCGGGAAAACGTGAGCTGAGGGGAAGTCACTGTTGGTTATTGTGGGTATGGTTTGGTGGAGAAGGCAGCAAATTAAATTTATAGGAGGAAAAAGGAAATTTATTTTTTGTTCTCGATGCTAAACCAAGTAACAACATCTTAAAAATGAGAGAAAAATATTAAACTACAACAATAAAGCACAGATTTAAATTTTTTTAAATTGACTAATTTTTTAAAAAATTGATAAAATTTAATTTTTTTAAATTTAATTTTTTAAAATTTAAATTAATTTTTTCAGTTTTAAAATAGATTAAAACTTTTTAAAGTGAATTTAAATTTTTAAATCTTTTTAAATCTTAATTTTTTTTATTTTTAAAAATAGATTAATTTAAAAAACGATTACAGTTAAATTTTTAATTCAAATTTTTAACATTATATTTTATTTTTCCATTTTTAAAAATGGATTAAATTTTAATCTATTAAATTTAAAAAAGATTTAAATTTTTAATGGATTAATCTATTTAAAATATTGATTCCATTTAAATTTTTTTAAAAATGAATTAAAATTTGTAATTGATTTAAAGAATAAGAAAAAGAACCACAAACTCAGATACACACTGAGGATTTTGCCTTCTCAGGGAAAGATGTTAGTCACTAAACTTCAGGAGAATTCTTATTTAAAATCCAAGCACTGCAGTTACCCTTTCATGGAGGATGCTGTAGAGAGAGCCAAAGTGAACCCTCTCATAGACCAGGCGGGTTCTGTCCAGGTCACAGGACAGACAGACAGACATCAGCTGCAGCAGGTGAGGGTGCCGCAGTTTGCTGCACAGGGAGAGCAAAAATCAAATTTACCAGACAAATCTGAGATGAGAAGAAGGAAAATCCTGCCCTGCTGAGAGCTTTCATCAATATGACACGAATGTTGGAATATATTTTAGTGTAAATGTATTTTTTTTATACTGAAATATTTGATTTCTGATCTGGGGAAGATGTGCAA